CACATTCTGTGATCTCTCTGGAATAACTGGTGACCCGATCCCTGTGGCCCCATAACGCACGAATCAATTCAGCAATGGCTCTCTGTGTCCTCTTCTCCAGCTTCTCCAGCTTCTTGGCTACGTCTCGCTTCAGATCCCTGGGAATTGAGGAGAGTGACAGAGTCAGAACAAATCCTCACCCCAGATGTGATCACAGGGGCTGTGTCACACCTTTTCCAGCAGAACAGAAACTCCTTCTGTCTCCCATCAGCACCACAGAGCAGATTCGGTGTCTGCCACCAATGCAGCTCATGGGCAAACCACCCCAATGGCTGAGGCCACCATGGTGACAAGGACCCCAAAAGGGACCAGTGGAGTCACTCAGTGCAAGCAGGAAAGGGAAGACAGCCTCAAGTCCTGCATCTTCCTCAAGAGCAGGGCTGGTTTTCCCATTTTAAGCCAATTTCTATCCCATTTTCCAACCTGGACAACCTCAAGCAGATGGTAACGCTCCACAGGCACTCACCAATCCGGCTTCCTAGGGGCCAGGTTTGCCAAATCCTAGAGAGGAAGAAGAGACCCCCAATGAGAGCTGCAGACGAGGTTCAGGTCTAGATGTAGATAAAACTCACCCAGCGGCTCTGAAGATACCTACCACCTCCTCGACGATGGGCTCCGGCTTGGCGGCCTCCAGCTGGTCCTTCACGTTGTCTTCCACTAGAGGGGGGAACAGGACCAGCATCAGCGTTAGGACATGGAGGGGACACCACAGAAAACCCTGCAACGCTCACAAAATCTTTTCCTAAAGCCCGTTTGACTTAAGAGTGAGCGAGAACGCGGGGGTACACGCACACCTTCACCACCCAAACCCTTCCAGAGACTCCTAAAACCCACCTAAAATATGATGCAAACCCAACAAAGCATTTAACAGCGCAAACAGCAACGGCAGCAAGAAGTTTGCTGGGTCGGAGGCCTCTTTTCGCAAGACCTGCACGGCTCCGCAGGTGTTTTAAGCTGCAATTTGACTCCCCGTGACTCATTTACAAGGCCATCACCTGAGACATCTCGGAGGAATCAAGCTCCAGCCTAGACCTTGCGCAAAGGCCTGCAGATACTGGGGATAATGGAAAAACACGGGTGGAAAACAGCCCAAATATCTTTCAATTTGGGTGCCTGCGTAAGGAGGGGGTGCAGGCACCAGGGAGTACATCCCTGAGAGTTGAATCCTCCTGCAGGATAGTCCCAAAGTCCCATTTTACTTTGACAAAAGGATAAAGAAAGCGCAGCGTCAGCATCTCTACCTGCCGTGCCCCCAGAGGCAGCCTTTTTATTCAGGGCATTTTTGAAGAGATCTATTCCAGGAGGACTCAGTATTTCAAGATCAAGGGAACTTTTACCCTTTATTCCCTCTCAGTGCTAGGAAACAGCAGCCTGAATGCCCTGGACTTGTGACTAATATTTGTTTAAAGGTAATTCAAACAGAAAAAAACCCAGCCCGGATCTCCTTGAGAATCCTCCAGCGAGAGCACGGCTCCTCTGAGGATCAAGCCTTCAGTTTGGGGCTGGCCTTGGTGTGCTCATACACACACCCCACTTGTGCAACGCAGGGTGTGGAGTCCCCACAGGCGAGAGAGGAGGAGGAGGATGATGATGGTGATGAAGCAACAGGGGTTGCAAGCATCACCCAGCTCCCACCGTGGCTGCTCAGACATGCCAGCACCCTCCAGGGCTGCAGACATTCATCTCTCAGGACCCACTACCAAAATACGGCCCAGTGACTTTTTGTCCTGGTTTGAGCTCAACAGAACTGATTTTCTATTCAGTGATTTTACTTTTCAGCTCAGTTTCTTCTAAGTGGCTGAACTTGCTGAAACCAGCAGCGTGGTTTAACAACAGTGTGTACTGGTACAAGTGATAGTGCTTGTATGGTATGGAAACATGGCAAGGCCACTGTCTCACCATGGGTGCTGTATCTGCACCTACGGGAGGGGAAGCGAACCCAAACCTGACCAACGAGGTATTGCATCCCACACACATCATACTCAGTATAAAGCTGAGGGATCACCAGGGTCTCCACCCTTCCATCTTGGACCCTTCCTTCCCTCTCCACCCCTGCAATGGCCCAAGTCCCAGCAGACCCTGCTGGTTCGTCTGCCTCTGATCCTGATCCCTGTGGTCCTGCATCAGCTCGGTCCAGACTGGGACTTTTCCAGTGCCTGGTCCAGACTGGGACTTTTCCAGTGCCTGCTCTCAGAGCCTCTGGTGCCGTCATCGTCATTGGGGAAGATTTTATACTGGTTTTGTATCTACATTTGTACACATCTGTATATATTCCATTATTTTCCTATTTACATTATTATCCTGTAGTATCAGTATTATTGTTTTATTAAACCTGTTAGTTTTATTTTCCAACCCGTAAAGTCTCTCTCCCTTATTCTCTTTTCTCTTCCCTTCTGGGGAGGGCAGAGGGGTTCACAGAGAGCATCTGGCCAGGATTTAGTGGCCAGTCCAGCCCTAAACCACAACACTTTTCAACCTTGGGTTTGAGCGAGCAGAGGTTTCCAAACCACCTGATTTTTGGGAAGGAAAGGTATAACCCACTCACTTTGCAGACAGGTAATGGTAGACCATTATCTGATCTTATTAGGGTAGACCTGATAACCTGGGATGGAAACACCAAAGATCCATGGTCAGAGACAAAAAAAACGCATCTGTTTTCATGCTCTCCTGTTTCAGCTCCCGCTTGCACCCACCTGAGGCCGGCTTGGCCTTGGGGACCTTCCTCTTCTTCAGCTCCTCATCTTCGGGCTCATAGTTTCGCAGTTTGAGCTCCCTGGGGAGGAAGAAGAAGAACACAGAGCAGTGAGACACGTCCACAATGACCTGCATGCACACAACTCAGGAAAGATGCCGTCAACCAGGAGCTCAGCACAACGAAGGTGATGTCTTGGCAAGCCAAGCACAGAAGCAGCTCATAAAGGATCCCAGCTCCCTTTTTGGTCTCAACTCAGGAGGGAAACAGCAGAGAAGATCAGGGAAAAGTTGATCCTAAGGGTCTACATGGGAAGGACAGGGAGAAAATAAAGA